CTTCATTACTCACTTCCTCTAACCTTCTGTTGAGATCTCAATAACATTAGTTCAGGGATTCTCTAAGCTGTTCCCTCTTTCCGGTCTGCCGGAGGAATACTGTGGTGCCTCTTAGATTCTGACGTCCTGACCTTCAATTTTCTCCTCTGTTTTAGTTAGTCGCGGGCTCATAAATCTTCATCTAGTGCTTGGGCCACTGGTCCAGAGCAAAGGGGCCTGCTGTTGTGGTCACTATTTATTAAGAACTTTAACATTCTTCTGCTCACTAGTACTCCCCTGAAATTTGCACCTTGGTTGCTTAGAATAGCTGTCTGTCCCTCCCTTCGCTCCCTGGTCAGAGGTCTTCTCCTTTTTGATCGGATTTTGCTCCTATATTTTATTGGATACACTGGGGGGGGACTTATCCTCACCCTTCGCGCTTTCCCATTCAAGCGGCCCCTACTTTCATCCCTTCGACGCTTCACCTGTTCATATAACAGGGTCCCTACTCTAGATCCTGCTCCCTTCTTGGCTCATTTTTGTTTTCACTCTGATGCCTAACTCATAGGCTCTGTCCTTTCTCCTTGCCACTTTCTGTTCATATGATAGGGTAGAATCCTGTCTGGGGAGTCTTCCCCGTTTAAACCTACCTGTGCTTGTCATTCTACCAGTTTCCCCACTAGAATTCCTCTCCGCTGGCCTATTTGCTACTATCTCATTTGTATTTTAAGATTGTTTCTGAGACTTGATTGTCATCTTCGTTGTCTACTGTTCTTGGACTATTTAACTTAAATTTAATATCATTCACTGATTTCCTCTGCATGGATCCGTCCTTCCCCGTTGTTTTGGATTTGGCTTAGTTAACTTCATGTTATAGCTTCATTATTACACTTCTCCCTTATGAGTTTGACTTCGTTCCTGTCTCCATTTCGCGATTTCCATAGATATAGTCTTGTCTAATCTGTTGATGTCATTATTCTGTCCCTTGTTTCTTGTATGAGGGCATGATTACTTCTTAAATAGTGCTACAGGAGTGGCAGATATTCCTCGTCATCTATATCTCGGCTTTCACGTGTCAATCAAGATTCTATTTTCTCCTTTAAAGTCCCTGGGATCGACCCCTGGAACTATACCATACTCCTCGGTTTCTTGTCCTGACTTTTTTAACTTTATCTAACTTCAGTTCCTTCATATTGCCTCCATCTACTGGGATCAGGTAGGCCTCCCCTCCCTCTAGAGTTTGGGAGTAGAACAATTTGAGGGGGAGCATCTGATCCCTTCCCCCATAAATTACCCTGGTGTCCACTTTCGTCCTCATCGCCTCTTACTCTCTTTCTACGATTTCAGAAACTGTTGTCTTCAGTTTACCTTATCTAGGCTGCCCTTCTTTTTTGTGCAGGTGAAATAGTCACCTGCCCTTTAAACTAGGAGTGCCCCTCATTAAGATCCGGGTTCACGCTCGGTCCGGAGGGTCATTCGCCCTCCCATTTATATTAACAGGTTAATTAGTGTATATGGAAAAAATAGATTTACCCCAGCTGCTATTTCTGCTTCTTTGCTCTCATCGGTTGTGTCTTGTTTTTCGGTTTCGCCTCTACACCTTTCGGCCTCTTTCCGCACTAAATCTCTTCTATCTTCTCGAGTGGAGGAGAGACTGCTTCTGCAGAGGCCGACTAGCATAGGTTCCGGTTGGGCATAAGTCTTGGGTCCTCCTTCGCCAGTGTCGTGTGTTGAGAACTCTGTACTTTTTGAGTTTGGCTCTATTTCCCATTCCAGATTCCTCTTCTTCATGTTAGAGATATTCTCTCCCAGTTGTTATTACTTATGCATAGTCTTAGAATTTCCCTCCCCCCCTTGATGTCTGAGTCCCCGATCTAATCTTAACTTTGGCAGGTCTCCGTCTATCAGTTCTTCTTTACCTTAAGGTACGTTTGTCTTAGCTTGTGGTAAGGTTGGGCTAAAGGCACTAGTTCTGTTCCTTAAAGGGCCGCTGGCTCTAAACGGGGGCTTGGAGATGGGGATTAGATTTTCGTTGACCACTTGTTCCTTCGATATTGTTCGGATTTAATCTTTACTTATTTACGTAGTTCTCATCCCTAGAGGGCAGTTGCCGCACTTAGTAGTTTAAGACCACATTTTTTGTAGCCCCTGTTTCAATGGTGAGTTCAGTATTCTAGGATAGGGTTCCTGTGCTGTCCGTGAGTCCGAGAGTTCCTGGCGGCTTATTCTGCTTTTCTTCCTTCCGGATATTCACCCATCCTTCTGATTGCCTCCCCCTTTGATGTTATAAGTGCACAGCCTCGTTGTCCGTTTGTGTGGTGCTGAGAAGTACGATTTGGCTCTGCTCCTGTTGACTGCTCCTTGCCATGTGGGGCTTCAGCGATCGGGTGTGTGCGTTTCCGGTTTGATTTTTCCCCAGTACCCTCTCGGCTTCAATGTTTTCTTTTCATATTCTCCCATCCACGGAGGCTTCAGTTCATTACCTGCTCTGCACTGTCTCTGGGGAGGCTCATTAGATCCTCAGCTGCTTCTCATGGTACTCTTCTTTCATTCGCTTTACAGGCCTGATCTTATGGTTGGTTGCATTTTAGGCCACTTAACCGTCAGAATTCACTGCTTATGTCTTGGTTCTCTCCCTTCTACAGGCTTCAGGCCCCTACTTCTTATTGGCGCATTATAGGTATAGTCTTCGAGCCCCCTGATTTATTCGGTTGCTTCCCTTTTTCGATCTATGTCTCTCCATCCTTCACTCTTCCCTTCTAGTTCAGTTGTTCTCTCCTTTTGGGCGGGGTTATGGCTGTTTCCCTTTGTCTTGGCCTGGATCTTTATCTATTCTGGTTAATTCTTCACCGTTCCGACGGCGTGAGTTTGGGCTTGCTGGTTTTAGGTTGCTTTCCCGTGTTTTTAATTGCTCTTGTATGAAGTCATCGGCTTCGCTTCCTTTACCTTCCGTCTTATGACTTCTAAATGTTCCTTTGAGCGTCCTAGGGTTCACCTCCTCCTTTCGCTTAAGGTAGGCCTCGTTATTCAGGTGAGCCCCTGTCCTTTGTCGTGCCAGACTTGTTCTTCCGTCTTCCTTCCCATAAGGTACTTCTTTTCCTTGGAGTTGGATTGGCGCAAGGCCCTTTTTTTATAGTCACCGTCTCTGCTCTTTACACGTACTTTTGAATGCGCTGCTGGGGGTATAATTTTTGCATACCTTTCCTTCCCTACTAGCCTATTTTTAGATCCCTCTTTTGGTTGTACCTGCTTTCTCCATTTTTTCCTGGACTCCGCAATTCAAGACTGGGCTGCTGCTCCGGCCTCGGGTTCCGGTACTTTTCTATTCTGCATAGCTTGCATGGGGGGTCAGTTTAAGTTGCGTTTCGTCATAGGTACTGTTCCTTAAATAACCTTCCCGCCTTATTTGGCTTTTGAGCTCGTTCCCTTTGCTGCTCTTTCTTTACCTCTATCTCATACCTCATCCGATTCCAGGATAGGCTCACTCCTCTCCGTTAACCATGCCTCTTCAGATCTGCTCCTGTCCTTTTTGACTCACTCCTACTTTGCCTGATTTCTTCGCTAACCTATTATTTTTCATTCTCTAGTTCCTGTATCTTCGTAGACATCCCGTGGTGCTGCCCTAGGGCGCCACGCTGGCGGTCTCGCCAGGTAATCTTGCTTCTATATTTCCTTTACTAAAGCGGTTTTTGCACTATTTCGCTTACTAGGTATCTTCTTTGCTACAGGCGCCTTGTTCCCTAATTGTCCGTTTCTTGGCCTGATATTCATTTCTTAACCTGTTGTATTTCCTATGGCGTCTTTTCCTTTGTTTCCTATTTCTGTTTGGAATGTGTCCTCCGCTTAGGGTTGCCTCCCCTACTTTATTCGTGCCCCCCTCGTCTTTATTGGCCTGAATTACTCTAGTTTCGGGTTTGTGCCCTGTGGGCCTATTTATATATATTTTCATACCACCTCTTTAGCGTCATTGCAGTTTTTCTTAAGGTTTGTTTTATCAATTCTTGGGTTCATTTCTGTAGAAACTCCTCTGTAGGATTTCTATACCTCATAGGTACTCGTTATATTTCTTAGGGATTTGTCGCTACTTCCATGTTCTCAATATACTCACTCCTATTCATGCTACACCTTCTCGGGTTGCCTTTGTTATACTTCCTCCTGGTATATATACTATTATCTCCCTTATGGCATATTTATCTGTATCTGCCCTGCTTTCAGATTTGGTTTTCATGTTTTTAATAATATATAATTTTAACTAGGGGATGGTATCTCCCTTGTCTTGGTGTTTTTTATTTTGTGATACTCTCATTTTTTCCCACTTCTGTTTTGGTACGCTTAATTCTTTCCCCTCCAGTTTGGTTCCTTGGATGCTGTTCCATCTCACCTTGGCTCCCCCTTTATTTTTACGCCCTAGGGATAAGATATTGTTGTATATTCCTGATATTTCTCATTGCTCCAGAGCCAAACTTGTGGTTATAATTCGGATTCCTGTGGTTATTCTTATCCTCTATTCTTCTTCCTCGCTTTCCCCCTGCCGACTTTGTTCTCCTCTGCCCGCGCGTCTTATTAACTACTGTATATTCATTCTCCTAAATCTCCTCCTTTGATTCTCAGGTCTATACGTGTCCTTCTTTCATAGGTCCCATTACTTCTGCTTGGGAGTCTAGTTCCCCTCTTTCCCGCCTGTATTGGTATCGTGCGTTATTGAGGCTTGCCTCCTTCGTCATGCCTCCCTTCGGCTTCACACTTTTTCCCCCCCTTAATGGTTTCTATTTTTTTATCTATCTTCTTATGGCGCAATTTCCATATTTTCCTTCGTTCCTTCTCTTCTTTTCCGTGGTCCAATCCTTTGCGTGTTCTCTCCTTATAATATACATTAGCTGCTATCAGTAAATTCTTAATCACTATTGGAAGCCTTTTTTCTATTTCATGTTCTCTCTTCTTCTTCGTTGTCATGAGATCACGATAATTCGGCCTATATTATCTTTCATGATATTCCTTATAGCAAAGAAAATAGCATCTAAGCCACAATATTCTGTACCCAGTGATTCAAACAGTTATTCTTCCGCGATCTGGGTGTTAAATATATATTATGATAAAATATCGAAACATAAGAAGTTGCCGGA